CTGACATGCACTGTCAACTGTGGGACCTTATATAGACAGGTGTGTGCCTTTCCAAATCATGTCCACTCAATTGAATTTACCACAGGTGGACTCCAATCAAGTTGTAGAAACATCTCAAGGATGATCAATGGAAAAACAGGATGCACCTGAGCTCAATTTCGAGTCTCATAGCAAAGGGTCTGAATACTGAATAAGGTAGTTCTGTTTTTTTCATAAAACCTATTTTTGCTTTGTCATTATGGGGTATTGTGTGTAAATTGATGAAGAAAAAAAATATTTTATCAATTTTAGAATAAGGCTGTAACGTAACAAAATCGTTGCCGATGACAAGCACACCCACAACATGATGCAGCCACCACCATGCTTGAAAATATGAAGCGTGGTACTCAGTGATGTGTTGTGTTGGATTTTCCCCAAACATAACACTTTGTATTCTGGATATAAAGTAAATTGTTTGCCACATCTTTTACAGTTTTACTGTAGTGCCTTATTGCAAACATGATGCATATTGTGGAATATTTTTATTCTGTAAAGGCTTCCTTCTTTTCACTCTGTCATTTATGTTAGTATTGTGGCGTAACATAAATGTTGTTGATCCATCCTCAGTTTTCTCCTATCACAGCCATTAAACTCTGTAACTGTTTTAAAGTAACCATTGGCCTCATAGTGAAATCCCTGAGCGGTTTCCTTCTTCTCTGGCAACTGAGTTATGAAGGACACCTGTATCTTTGTAGTGACTGGGTGTATTGATACACCACCCAAAGTGTAATTAATAACTTCACCATGCACAAAGGGATATTTAATGTATGCTTCTTTTTTTTTGGCGAGGCATTGGAAAAGCTCCCTGGTCTTTGTGATTGAATCTGTGTTTGAAATTCACTGCTCAACTGAGGGATCTTACAGATAATTGTATGTGTGGGGTACAGAGATGAGGTAGTCATTCAAACATCATGTTAAACACAATATTATTGCACACAGAGTCCATGCAACTTATTATGTGACTTGTTAAGCACATTTTTACTCCTGAACTTAATTAGTTTTGGCATAACAAATGGGTTGAATACTTATTGACTCAAGACATTTCAGCTTTACATGTTTTATTAATTTGTAAAGGATTCTAAAAACAAAATTCCACTTTGACATTATGGGGTATTGTGTGTAGGCCAGTGACACAAAATCTAAATTTAATCAATTTTAAATTCAGGCTGTAACACAGCAAAATGTGGAAAAAGTCAAGGGGTGTGAATACTTTCTGAAGGCACTGTAGGTCCTCTGCCAGTGGGAGGAGACTAGAGTGATGTTCTATCCAAGGCCAGGTAGAGGGGACAGCAGATCCAGCAAAGAACATACAGGGTTCATTATGTGTTGATGTGTGTGTGTGTGTGTGTGTGATGTGTGTGAGCATGATGTGTGTGTGCGCATGCTTTATTGCCCCCTGAGAAAGAGCATTCCGACTGGGCTGGTGGCAATTTGTGTGTGTGCATTTCTAGTTATGTGTGTGTATTTGCATGAGCGTGTGTGTGTCGCTGAGACAGATGAAGAGCTCTGAGGTGCCTCAGACAGCGGCCGAGGGCTTGATGTGGAGCTCTATGACAGGCTAACGATGCCAATATGGCGGCCCTGGACTGTGTATCATGAATCAAGACCGGATCAGCTATTGGGTTGATTAACTAAAGGGACTTAACGGCCCTCTGTCACTGCTGACTCTATTTATGTGAGTCTGAGCTGAGTTGGGAGGCAGTGATATACAGTAGATATACACACATACATGCATAGGAGCAAACACACACACACACACACACACACACACAGGCCTGCTCATATCTGTGGTAATGAGAGCAGGCTGGGGAGAGAGCTCATGCCCACTAGATGTATCCGATCGTGGGGAGTGATTTAGAGGTATCCCCCTCCTTACACAACCATGGGGTGGAAAGATGGATGGATCAATTCTGTGTATTTCACTGGTTTTCAATTTCTCTTGTGGAGTATAACAGTTTCTCCCTTCGATTTCCATTTAGGTTTGGCAGTGCAGAAAATCCTCCAAAGCAAACTTTCAGGGAAAATCCCACTGAAAGACTTGGTCGAATGCTTTGAGGCAGGGGGGTGGGAGGTGGGGTTGGGGGGAGGGGAGATACAGTGCTAGGCTTCCTTTCCTGCTGAAGTAATGACAGCGAAGGCATTTTTTTGCTGTTCTGCACCGATGGACAGCAGCTCAACACAGAGCAAGACTGTATCTCCCTTCTTCCAGACCTGTCTATCACAGTGATGGTTGCCTGGTTGGATCTCGACTGTATGCTCTGTCAGGCCTCTTAGAATGTCTCGTATTCAGCCCATACAATCAGAATGTATGGAATGGACATCCCCATTCACAGACACATTCTAGAGCCTCTTTGAGTTATTTTCGCCGCCCAAGACAACTCTACGTGGGAAATAAAGAAAGAAGTGCAGAAAGGAGTCTTAGAAGAAGGCGTTAACCACATCCAATGGCTCCTCTGCAACAATAGGGGGAGGCTGGTTAGTATACAGCTGGTGCATTCAGGTCCACAGTGCACACTGTAAGTTGTAAATCCCTTGAACCAAAGGCTTGAGTGGGCCGTGTATAGGAGGGGAGAGTTGTATGGTGTCCCTAGTGATGTTCATACTCTCCTACTCAGTATGTTAGCTGTGACTGCAGTGGCTGTTGTTACGAGGCCATTTATATACCCTCTACTGCTGCTCTCGAACCTTGTCTGCTTAGAGCATCATCATGACCCATGGTCCACCCAGTGAGCATAACCAACGGTTCTAACCAGGACCCAAACTGAAGATGTGACCCGAAATGAATCCGCAATGGTGCACAAGTGGGTCCCGACACATCTCTTGGGAAACGCTGTGTTAGTGTTAACTTGAGTGTGTGGCACTGTGGGGTCTCACCAATACCAGTCAACCCCTGCCTAGGGGTCTACAGACCACCATGACTCTATTACATAAAGGACAGGAGGGATCGCTTTTGAATGACACTTAAATGTGGAATGTGTTACTGTTAACTGCCATACAATACTTTACTGTCCATGACGAAATACCTTTGTATCTTTACCCGATCAATGGCAGGTCCACTCTGAAAGGGTTAACCTGATAAAATACAAGTACAGTCAGCTCAGAGCAGCAGAGATTCACTGGACATGACTGGAGTTACCCTGGTAAATGCAAAACAGTCTGAACACAGGATTTCCTGGTCACCAATTCTTAGCACAAATCATCTTTACGTAACTTGTCTATACACCCTATGAATGCTAGACTGATTTTCTTCATCCTATGAACATGTACTCTAAACTATTTAAATTCAGAGCTGATTGTATTGCAAGCATGGTTGTACAGTAGGCGAATAGGTGATGCATTTTAGGAATGGGAGAAAGATGGAATAAAACGCTATTGTCAGTTTACACATAAACTCTTCCTATACCACAAAGATACCAAACTCACATTACATTTTTTCCCCCTCGGCCATTCTTAGATGCTACTGTCTTAGATGCTACTGTCAATGCTTCTGTCTTTCTGTATTGACTGAGCTGAGAGGGTTTGGGCTCCCAGCCAGGCTCTCTGCCCGACTCTCTTTCTGCAAGAGGCTCATTCCTTATGTGGCTCAAGATTGAACATGGAGGATAGATCAAAGGTCGCCATGTCTGCTCACATTGAAAGTGATCTACTAGCTCAAACT